CTGGACATGAGAGCATTGCCTTGAGGATTCCTCAGGAAAATTGCTACCAGGGGCAGTCACACTGACAAGTTTAAACCTTGAGACTCTATAGGTATGACACATATATTTTGACCCACTCCTCCATATTCTTTTATTCTAGGGGTTCAGATCACAATGCTTAGCCCACCCTATGACATCTGTGCATTCCAAAAACCTGATTATCTACACAAGGTGTGAAGAAAGGAGGAGTGTCCCCAGCCAAACACTTGCACTGGGATCTGAACAGACTTTCAAATTTCAAAGAGGAATTTAGACAGGCACTCCAGAGAAAATATTAATAGTACGCTGCAGACAGGGCTTCGGTCTATTCAAATACACACTAGATTCAAGAATAATCATTAACCTTACTGCATTCTTTTGACCCTCCGGCTTCTCAGTCTTTGAAAACAAGGGATAGGCAACCTTTGATCTCAAATGTATCCATGTTTTCCCTAATAAAAATCACATAATAGTTGGCAAAGTACAAGAGCAAAGAATAAATAAGGTCCACCAGTGTCAACTCCAAATGCATTGAACCATGACTTAAATATAAAGAATGAAACCAAAATGTACTAGAAGAAAAAAAGGATGAATTTCTTTATAGCTTTAGTTAAAGACTAGTAAACCAAAAAAGGAAAAACAACAACAACAAAAAAACAACAAAAAACCTCCAGCAAACAAAATTTTGCGTGGCAAAAACCATATTAAGTAAAACAAACACAAATGACAATTTGTAAAAATTATTAGTAACTTAGATCACAGAGAGGGCTAATCTCCCTAAGAGCTAAAAATTAAGAAAAAGACCAACAACCCAATAGTGAAATAGGCAAAAAGCATACACAGTGTCTCGCCTACCAAATAAAGAAAAAATATACATGAATAGCTCTTACACAAATAGAGATGCTCAATCCAAATGAGCAAATTAAAACTACAATGAGAGAGCAATTCTTATCTGTTAGATTGGTAAAAACCCCAAAGTTGGACAATTTCTACTGGAGGCTGGGGGCAACATGAATTTTCCCACATTGTTCTAGGGAGTAAAAAGTGGTATAACCCCAATTTTCCAAGTTTATAAGTTTATATTTGGGTGTAGTATCTACTGTTTGTTGTACACATGCCTTTTAGGTGCACACTATACTTTAAAGTATATACAGGAAATTCAGAAATCACTAGAAGCCCGCGCACCACAATGAACAGTAGCCCCCGTTCAGTGCAACTAGAGAAAGCCCATGTGCAGCAACAAAGACCCAACACAGCCAAAAAAAATTTAAATATATATATTAATTAATTAATTAAAAAAAAGAATGGCTTCATTGAGGGAATCATAATACAGTCTCTAATCTGAAAGCCTCATATTTTATGACAGCTCATTTCACATGCATCTACAGAGGCAACTATTATGCAATGTAAGATCTTAAAAAACAAATAAAACAACAAAACAAAACAAAACATAGAAAGAGAAAGGGAATAAGAGAAAGGAATTTTAATTCAAAGAAAGAAGCATATATTCCATAGTAACACTTCAAATGCTAAAGTATTTCAGACTGGATATAAGTTCATAATCCTCCTGTTAGTGTACATACTAACAACCAATGGGGAACAGAACAGAAACTATTGGCAGCTAATAAAAATGATAAAAGTAGGTCATTTTAGTGATTTTTCAAAGATTTTTAATATCTCAGAATACCTATACTAGAGTCTATATACTTTTCTCTTATTAATATCACTGCATAGACTCGGACAAGCGGAAATTAAAAGTATGAATATATATCTTCCTTGCCTGAAAACAAACACACTGAATTTTTGTGTGTTTTTTTTTGCTGCTCCTTCTCTCTCCACCCATCACCTTTCACCTTTTTTTTGTATTCTCAGGAGTTAGCATGGCTGGTCTACTGCCCGGTTTAAAATTAATTAATTAATTAATTAATTAATGACTGCATTAGGTCTTCGTTGCTGTGCACAGGCTTTCTCTAGTTGTGGCTAGCGGGGACTACTCTTAATTGTGGCGTGCGGGCTTCTCACTGTGGTGGCTTCTCTTGTTGCGGAGCACGGGCTCTAGGCGCATGGGCTTCAGTAGCTGTGGCACGTAGGCTTCAGCAGCGGTGGCTCGCAGGCTCTAGAGCACAGGCTCAGTAGTTGTGGCACACGGGCTTAGGTGCTCCGCAGCATGTGGGATCTTCCCAGACCAGGGCTCGAACCCGTGTCCCCTGCATTGGCAGGCGGATTCCTAACCACTGTGCCACCAGGGAAGCCCCTGTTTTTATATATAAAGTTTTGATGGAACACAGCCACATTCATTCATTTACATATTGTCTAGGACTGTTTTCATACTATAATGGCAGAGTTAAGTTGTGACAGAGACTGTATGGTCTGAAAAGTAAATACAAAAATATTTATCATCTAGACCAGCAGTCCCCAACCTTTTTGGCACCAAGGACTGGTTTCATGGAATACAATTTTTTCCACGGACGGGCAGCGGGGAGATGGTTCAAGCAGTAATGTGAGCGACGGGGAGCAGCAGATGAAGCTTCGCTTGCTTGCCCGCAGCTCACTTCCTGCTGCGCGGCCCAGTTCCTAACATGCCGTTAACAGTCCGCAGCCCGGGGGTTGGGGACCCCTGATGTAGACTCTTACATGGTGGTCAGCAAACAGAAGAA